TCAGTTTCTATCCAGATTGCCTGAGTGAATGTCTGGAGGTGTATGCACCTCGGAATGATTGTGTTAAGCTAGCACTAAGTCTCTTCTCCGTCCACCTTTACTCTTTTCTTTACAATAAGGCTTTCAAATAAGTCATGGTTGTACGGCAGTGAAGCGTTGGTGTTGAACGGTGATGTCATGCTGTCGATGATGATGATGATGCATGTTGCTCGAGCTGCCAGCTCAATATGTCGTTTCAGCTTGAGTACAACAACGATCCTTCAGGCTGCACTGACTAGAAAATTCATGACAAGAAGGTAAAAGGGGGTAGCCACAATTAGAGTACCGAGATTGTATATTATGAGGCTGCGCGGGGCTAAAGAGAAACTGTCTTTTCTCCAAGCGACAAGCATTTCCATACTTATGGGAGCGGCGATGCTGCCTTTTGCCGAGAAAGGAGGGATTGTAAAAATTAAGCCTTAAAACTCACACATTATCCACTATCGACAGACAAATAGACTCTACCACAAGAGCGCCGCTCCAAATGAATCTGTTGTGCGTGGCACCATCGGCAGTGATAAACTTATGTCTTATTCTAAGCGGATTCGGGCTATGCTTGACACCACCACCCAAACGGGTCAGACTATTGGGTTACCAACCTGGACGTGGTCCCGCAAGAAAACCCTACAGCCCGCCGCCTAGCAGGCGAGACTTTTGCGTCTGAAGCTATGGGAATGGTTCCTGAAAAAAACTGCTTCGTTCTGCTGCGGTGCGGGTCAGACTTGAGTCAAAGATTCATAGCAGCGTGCTTCAGTTAAAACCTCCTTCTCGGCCTGGGTAACCGGGAAGTATCATTTGCCCGCACAGTTATTCGTCTGTTGGTATCCCTCTCTTCCGACCTCTCAGCTAAACGTCGTTGGGTCATTTGATCTTCAGTTGTTCGACCAATGTGTCCCATTCAACGCACTACCCATTAACAAGGAAAAATACTGCTGAATCCAAGAAATCTTTTCTACATAAGATCTTTTATTCTGTCAAAGATATGGGACTCATATCCGGCGGCATACTTTCTGTCTGCTCAAACTCAAATCACCCATTTCCACAAACCATCCTGCTCCACATGCTCCAGATCAACATGGTTCTACACTGCATCAAAGCTTTTCATTCCAGCAGAGCACTTCGAATGATGAATGGTCTAAACTAATATCCTCCTCCGGTCCCCACTGGGGTTCCTCAAGTGTCCATCCTAGAACTGGTCCTTTTTACGATCTACGTCAACCACCCTCCCGAAGCACCTTTAAGTCTATGTCCATTTTTTCACAGACGACCTGAAATTTTGGAGTCTCCGACGGAAAGCCAGTGAGCCTCGACACAACAGAACAACTTTTACCGGTCTGACACTTGCTGAATGTCGGTATGTGGAAGGTGAGTCGGAGAGAATTCCGAAGACATTTTCATTCTGCACGCTGCGAATGAGAAACTGTAGGCCAAGGACGAACTGGATATATAACCAGCTTCAGGTACACATTTCACGTTCTATCAAAAAAGACCATCCCTAAAGGCCGTTGCCCTGAGGATGATTCAATGCACTTTCCCACATATTGCTCGCGTGTATTTCTACACTATCTATGGAGCCTACGCTAGACAGCCTCTCGAATACATCAATCAATTTGTCTACTTTGGAATCAAGAGCACACTCACTGAGCACGACCACATAATATCCAACAAACTATTACGAGGAAAGTTATCGGTTTCGAATCAGCTGACTTAGAATATCACACGGAGATTCTCGATCGCACTTCTCGAGCTATCATCGTCTTTGAGGCGACCTGATACTTTCTTATAACTGGCGCGGGTATCGCTGATAGATGTATTACCAGACTACAGTGATTCACGAAGATGACAAAATCTCCATTGAAGTGGGTAGTTGTAGCGTGGAATAACTGTTTTCACACGCATCGACACAACCATTAAGATCCTATTAAAACCACTTTCACATTAATCTTGATGATTATGGGCCTTGGCGAACACGTCTAACACCGAGCAAATAGAAAGCCGTGATGCACCATTTTTCCTCGTGCGGTCGAGTCAAAGTGAATCTAGACGCGTGCTAAGGGCAAACGCGAGTCGGACAAAGCCTCGACCCAGTGTGTCAAGCCAAATGACATTAGTCGGTGTCAAAATATCAACATGTTGATTGTATGCAAAATAAACACGCCATCGGAGGAAACGGTGGTAAATAGGAGTGGTATGTTACACTAGCTACCGGTAGCTACGGTCCGCCATAGGCGATAACCCATGATGTGTGTACTTCGTGGAAGACTGTGAAGATATCTAAGGAAATTTACTCTCCTACAAAAATAACATGAGAATTTTGATGACAAGTTTTGTATACAACTCACCAGATGACCGTTCACACAAGTAGCATCTGCAAAACTCCGGGCCCGTATGTCTTGTCTTGAGTCGGCAGCACTAAAAATGACACTTTTCAGTGTATCTTCCGGTGCATAATCCACTTTAACACCTGATTTCCACACCCAAGATTCCGAAGGGTTGAAAATAGCAGGACGATCAAGGCACCGGGTCATTGGATGAACTAAGATCGCAAGGTAAACACAAGATTTGAAAGTGTGCGGACCTGAATTCTGTATCTTCGATTCATTAAATCAGGCCACTAATGAGATTCGTGTCTTAGTTCAATTTAACAGGTTCAGGTCTCATGGCATAGATTCAAAGGACAAAGATTGTGTAATAGCTCTGAGTCCTTCATTTCTGTGGTGCTTGGCTCCCTCGAATGAACAAATATCCAGTTCAAAAACCTCACAGATTCTCAGGATTCCACTTGATGCAGAATTCGAAGAGCCGTAGAATCACGGGTGCATGGATTTGTACGTAGGATCGAGGCTTTTACCCCAGTGTCCCGGGATGGTTTTGCTCTTGTCGTTCAGTAGCTTCCGTTCACCCGACGGGTACAAGCGGGAAAAGGGTGTAGCGCTGCTTTTTATGTTCTCAGCGGCAAGCAGTAAGCTCCCCAGCACGAGGATTCGTATTAAAAAAGCGTCTAATAGCACTTCGAATTGGGCACCAGATGGAGCGCGGACGACCGTCGGGGAAAGTTATCCCAGACAGCAACTACCCGAAATGGGAAAATTTTTGCTCAGTTAAAATCTGCGCTCTGTGCTTGAAAATCTTCTTACCATATACCCGCCGTGCGGTGGCTGCATCAACGATGAAAGACCTGTTGGCCAAACTTTGTTCAAACATGGTACGAATAAGTTTTAGACCTCACCAGAGTCAACGAAACTCCAAGGGGATAATAATCAAGCACCGTGAGATTCGTTTCATGGTCCACAGATTTGAGGCTGGCAACCATTTTCGTAATAGTTGGTAGGAGACTCTTAATGAAAACCACGCCCTTCTTGCGTTTTGAGTAAACAACTTGGTGGGAATATTCAAGAAACTACCGGAGACAGGCCACATAGAGCATTTGTAAGTCCATGGGAGTAATACAGGAGAAGGTGCGATGAATCATCCGAATGACGGTGAAAGCCCTTTGAGCCGATCTCTTGTTGAGTAGGACACGTTTGACGGGAGCCAGATACCCTTACACTTTTGGCATCCGTCCTCATGATGTCTTCCGGTCGATTGTCACCGTGTACAACAAACGCGTTCATTGAGTCTCCTTCGAATGGCATATGGACACTGCAAGAAGAAGACCTGAAATCGGAAGAACATCTGGCAGGTCAATAGTTTAGATCGGAAACAGAAGTGTTACCAAAACAGAGGCTTCGGGCGCTCCACTGCCGGAGGAGAGTAGACCGAGCCTACTTCCGTTTGGCATGTCCTGTTTGATGAGAAGTCACTAATCTAGCGTACAATTTCCCCTTGAATCCAGTAGGGCTGATGTTTGTCCACAAAAACGGGTATCTTAATCGCGCAAGGACTGTTTGGGAGGAATATCAAGTTGTCGGTAATAACGTGCTCTGGAGTGGCCCGCCTCGGAGTACGTTTCGTCACCCTAAACAATAGTGAGGTCTGAAAGGGAGAGGGCAAATGTGAGAAAGGGATAGCAGTTTACTTTGAGTTCTTATCGCGCGGCGGTAAGCTTGCCGGAACGAGGCTTACATAGGAATACATTTGAAACTGCTTCGAACTTGGATTTGTATGCAGCTTAAAAACTTTGGAGAAGGGTTATTTCACGCGCCGAAAACCCGAAAATCCGTTAGCCAAACCTTGTGCAGATAGTACTAGGTCTACTATGTGGCATGATGCTTTAGGAGTAATCGGCCAGGTACTGCGAGAGGTCCTTCTCACTCATGGTATTTGAGGCCATCAACTACATTCCGAGCGGCCATTTGGACACACTCAATGACGTTATGTCCTCCTCGCCTTCTGAGTAGACATTTCTGTGTCAGCCATATGTATAAGCGTCATTCCTCTCATCGTTCATGTCGATGTGGTTTCAACCAAAGTCGGTCCCACACTCATGTCAGCAAGATTCGAATATGTGAGAATGCTGAGCCAGCTGCTGCTAGTGCAATCTGTCTCCGATAATGACGGTTAACTAGCTGTAAACCGCACTCGGCTTACCATATCTAAATGCCCAGGAAGAAATATCCGGCGAAACCCATGGGAGTAACTTTCCCCAGCATAATTCTTCTAACTATGTCTTTGTCCTTTAAGTGTTCGATGAACCTTGAGTTCCCATAATATATACACTCAATGCGTCTCGTCTACCCATTTACATGTGAACTACCTAATCGGCCTTTTCATTCGCCACTTTACCTCTTAACATCCACTCACGCTTTCGGTACCATGTCCGCTAAATTCCCGCCTGACATAGCGGAAGACTGCATGGTTGACAACCCTACATTGAACTGTGTGCCTTCCCTCCAAAGACAGTCCTTTCCGTATATTTAGTCTTACACCCCTCCCTCTTTGTTAAAGGAAAGGAAAATCCTAAGCGGAAACAACTCTTGTCAAACACCCGTGCAGCCAGCCTAAGCTTGCACTGGATGTAGAATATATCACGGGCAATTTTCCTGTGAATCCTAAACATCGTTTATTTGCAAAGCGGATATGCTACCAGAGATTCCCGTCTCCGAGGAAAATTGTCCTGCAAAGCTTCCACGCATTTCTTTAGGGAGTAGCTGCACCATTCGGTTGGCACCTCATCTTAGCACACATCACCAGACACCCCAAGTTTTTGTCTAATTTATAATCCCTGCATGCTCCAAGATACATTACTGGCGCGCGGTTCATTGAGTTGGTGTCTTTTATATTCTTTTACGCCCACAAATTCTAATCGACCACATACTTACCATCTGCCCCTGAATTTCGGTTTGCATTGTTCTGAAGTCGAGTGCACAGCAGTAGTTAAAAATTGTGCATACTGTTGGCTGCCTGTTATGTTGACCCGTGGTCTCGATCGTGCCAGAGTGCCAAAATATTGGTTGCTGGGGTGATATTATTCGTTTTTGATCTGGTGACTCTTGATCCGCTCGTCGAGCTTGGTAATTGGTTTGCAAACGTTTCGACACCATACGAGGAGACATCATCATTTCGCAGGTAATTATGTCTCGCACTGATGGTGTCTCCTCGAATGGTGACGAAACGTTTGCGAACCGATTTCCAAGCTCGGCAAAGGGATAAACAGCCACCTGATCAGAAACCATTACGAGAGTGCCATTTCGCGGACATTTTGACATTCTCTACTTTAGGTTCCAATATGAAAGCGGCCGTTTCATTGCCTCGTTCGAAAGGCAGCACCGAGCCACGCCGGCCTTCAATGGACCAAAAATATAATCATTCGTTCAGCCACTGCACTTTTGTGTCTAATTTCAGTGCCGTTCGTTAGGAGCACGAGGTCTGAGGTGCTGCCAGGTTGCCCAAATCTAGACAGAAAATGTCGAGATGCGAAGATCAGGTTACAATTAATGAAATTCCCCTCAGTAAATTCGTGCCCAAGCTATTTCTCCACTGACTCAAACATAATCTTTGTCTACGTTGGTCTTTATTTGTCAAAATTTTTGGCCGGTCTTAACCATCTTGGGAACCACAAATAACTCACCCATGATATTCGTGTACTGGACTGCCAACAAGAACAATGTACGACGTCGCGTTGACGGCACCACGACTGCCATACCCACTATTATTGCTTGCTCGAAGTTCAAAATATCCATAATATTTCCCGACCAAGTGTGTTAAATGCGTCCATAAGACCGTCCCAATCCGTGGGATTTATGCCAGAACCCGAAGACCCTGGCCACCAAATTGTACTGTCTGCTCCTCTTGTCCATAAATCCACTAATTGTTCTTATGTCATTATCAAGAGGTCGGTATAACGTTAGGATTAAACCTCATAGTGCACCCTATATAGCGTGTCCTTGTATTCATAAAAATAACTTCCTTTGTGTGACAAATGCTGTGCTTTGTCCGGTTTAGTGTCTTCTCCCGCGATGGAGAACATTTTAATATGCAGGCCGCGAGTATTGCTCCACTTTAGGAACACGCACAAGCAAACCCGACACTTTTCGGAAAATTTCTTGTAATCTTCATGGAGACACCAAGCTAGGCGCTGGTAGCCAGTAAAATATTAATCCTGCTTCCGAAGTGGACCACGGATCTGTTTAAACCACTTTTGGGTTTGAATAAATACCATCAAATGGTAAAATCCTATGTTAAATTCTCCCTCGCTCAACCTACTGTTTCAGAGAAATAAGAGTTATACTTCTAAAGATTGGCTGCTTAGACTCGATAAGTTCCACAAAGTATAGAGAAAAACATTATTACCATTCTCCCCCTGCCATTGATCTCCACCGCAGGTTGATCGTGCCAATTTTTGCATGACCTAATCTGCGCCGTATAATGCTCACTGCCTGTGTGACTGCCCGTTTTTGCTCAATCCCGTGTACCGACAAATCTTGGTAGTCATGTCCTCATTCCGGCCGTACCATTATAATCGCTCTTGACGGTACGAAAGCCACCGGCTGTAAATAAACAATATTATACTACAGACATTTTTGTATCCGTCCTGGTAGATTCTCCTTGATCACCTTATAATATATGAGAGAGACGCTCACTGCGTCTCCCCCGAATGACGTTTGGACGCAATTTTCTTCCCTCAGAAAAAGACGTCATTCTAGTAAAGCCCGTATCGCATCGTTCACATTAAATTTTGATGTGTGCTGTCGCAAAACGTATACATGGACTTATAAAGGGGTCTAGAGGTTCGTTTGCGGACATCAAAGACGGGATCGGTTACAGAAAGGAGCCTCGATCTCACCGAGGCTGAGACCGAATAACGATGTGTTGAGACAACATTTACTTAAAATGTTCAACCTGATGAGAACGTAATTCAATGTAGAATGTTTCCTTCAATCTAATAAGGCTCGCGCTTCCGCTGTAGATAAACCTCTGTGGTAGGTCGGAAAAATATGGCATCTTCTATTATATTTTTGTTCTCTGTTCGGATTAAACTGTCAGTAAATATGCTTTTCACGCAAGAAGGTTTTGAGAAGGATCCATGTCGCACTGTGTCAAGTTGTTGTTACTGAGATGAATCAGGATAGCTCACTTCAGAATGCATTTCTTCATAATTCACAATATTCTAGAGAGTGTAATAAGCTTGTTACTGTTGGATAAAACGGTAGCCAGCTTTTTGGATAAGTGTCGAAATTAGGGAGGAGAATATTGTCTTTTTCGGGAAAATGACGAAACACCAAAAGGAAATATCACCAATAAAGGCAACGATTCCTTCAGAATCCTTTCAAGGTCATCATCTAAACCCAGTGCACGCTCAAGGGGTTCATCTTGTGCAAGAGCTGGCGAACGTCATTTTCCATGAGAACCACGATGGCCAGAGGATATTCGTTGTCTCGCCTGTCGAATTTCAATGTGAAAGTTTTGCTGGGGCGGAATGCAGACCCATATAAAGTTTTCATAAATTTCTGATATAGTTATCGTGTCACTTGTGGATTCCAGGTTCCTCTCTCAAACCGAATCCCCTGTTTCTATTTTGGTGTTGAGTATCATGCACTTAAATGGTACATCTTTGATTTTCCGGTGGTGGTCTATTATCGAGAACTGCTCCCACCGATAGGTTCGTTCCCAGCTGGTGGAATCCTAATTAACAGCGGTCTCCCATCTTACGAAGCGTCAGCTCATCCGCGCCTCCTGTCGCTAGCTATATTGAGTGTTAAGAGACGTCTTTTTCATAATACATCAAAGCCATTAGTCTAGTCTCCCATACTATTGACTGCAGGTTGATTCCCTAGGTACACAAACGTGGTGTGTATTTGCCGAAAAATGGTTCTGCAAATCTCCTGTACCGGTATCAGCCCCTGTTTTAGCTGTTAAAGTAGGATAAGCATTCCTGAGAAATTTTAAGGACACAAACTTTTGATCCAAGGTTTTGTTTTTACCTAGGAGTGTTGCGCTACAAACCATCAGCACGTGATAATCGGTCATACATACATATTCACCACACATACATATCATTTTGACGTTTTTCGAAAACCACTAAAGGTCTGGCTCAAATCGTATGTATTTTTAGGCACAAACTCTTCCTGAAGTTCAACAGTTTACTCCCGCTTCCTTCTTCGCACTGAACTTTGAAAGATTGCCCTGGACGCGCAACATTAATGTGAGATACAAGCATAATCTCCCACACTAATTTACTGTGTGATTTTGGTTATCATTGGCGACAAGAAACGTGTCAGAAGGCTAATACTATGAGAGTATACCGAAAATCCACGCACGGTTTATAGTTAATATTTAAAAAAGGAAATTCGGTCTTTAATAAAATCGGTCTTGGCAAAGGCACAGACGGTGAGGTCACTTTTTCCTGGCGGAACTGGTGTGAGTTCATGGCGCGAAAAGATTTACTGAGGCACTAATAATAGTTTCTATCATTTTGAACCATTTTCGTGTTAGTAATTGTGTCCGTGTTCTTTGGTTTACTCCGGGTATTGATATGCTCATTGGCGAGGAGTGCTCAAGAAATGCATACATTGCATGCTTAGGCAAAAACATGAATAGTAATGCAGGCAGGTGCCCACATAATCCTGCTGAACAAGGATAACTTGAGTTCGTACTTTTGGATGTTGATGACGTCGGCACTCATGGGGTAACTGAAACTAGTGGAGGGATTTCAAGTCGTATTGATGCAAGTCAAACTTGAGCGCGACTTTTAGCCATCTTCGAGACTATCACTAACCGTAGACATGGGATGTGTGTGCCGAAATTTCCTGGGTCGGAATGCCATTTCCTACAGCCTGCTGAATATCCTGAGGTACATCGTGAGCGCCTAGGAATTTTCTTGCTTTAGTAACAAACTTGGTGCATAACATTGCGCGTTCCAGTGGCCCCTGATAATATCGTTGTTGTGATCAAGAAATAATAAGTTAACACATGACACTGGATTTGGCAGTGTCCGTAACATCAAAATCATCGAATGTGCAAGCGATTGAGAGAAAGAGTATTATATACTTAATTGATTGGTGCGAAACGTTCCATCTCATGACTAATTTTTGGTAAGGGATAGAAGAAAAACGTTTGCTTCACTTCTGAGCGAGGTTTTCCTTAAACTCTGACCTATCACACTGGTGTTTACTTGGATAGGCGAAATACAAAGTGCAGAAATGCAACGGTTATCCCGAAGATTATTGGCAAAGAAATTAAAAAACAAGCAAAATATTCTTGGCAGCTTCCCAAACGCTTCGGTTTTCAATTTTCCATTCTCAGCATATTCATCTCTTCATCATTCGTCAGAGTAACTTTCTCTTCTCACTTCTGTATGCGCATTTTCAGCTGCTTCGGTCCCTTATTTCTCCTGGAGCAGCGATGATATGCCTTTGATTTGCCTTTTAATAACTTAAACGAACTTCAATAATAAGCACGCGAGAATGGGCTTTACCCCAATTTCATTAAGCACGAGCCAGTGTTTCGAGTTCGCAGTCTTTGTACAATTCCGATTATTCATATAGCTTCACATAATTTTTACCTTGCTGTTGATATTGCGCTTCCTGTTGTGCAGGCAATATGTGTTTGGATAATTTGATCTGCCTAAGAGAAAGACCGGAAAAAATTTTCTACGGCATGTCAACCTTATGTTTATTTCAACCCACAGGTTTTTAAGCAGGGGCCACTCCATCATTGATTGACAGATCCAAACACATGTCTCAGAATAAGCCCCGAGCAGCTGTTGTTTTTACCGGAGATTGTGGACCCAAAGAGATGTCCTCTTTATTGGTTGGGAAGTTATTCGCTGGTGGCCAATCTGAATGGGTGAGGCAATGATAAAATATCATCATGCGATCTTGGAAATCCTATTCATATAAACTAATTGATCTATCAACATAACAGTGGTTCAGCTGGCGCGTTTCAATCCGCTTGAAAAACTTTGGCCGACCTAGTAACATCGTTAATGTATGCTGCGCATTGCCTCCGTGCTTTATCTCAAAGTCCGGTAGGTGCATACGAATCGGTGGCGGTTGGTGGCCTTTGCAGTTTACTTACGAAGCAACAGAGCACTTAAACATACAGTCGGAGCTTACTATATTCACAAGTCCCAAATTGGGAAACCCCATAAACCTTATGATGGATGAATCATCAACGATTTCCAATTTTAGTTCAATTCAACCGTCTTCATCACTGAAACAATCGTACTTTCTGCCTCGTTGGACCAGTTTTTGCTTTCACCTTTTACAATTACTTATCATATCATAGACACGTCCCAAAGTTATACCTTCCGTCCGTTTCCTCGTTGTCCACCATGTTCAAATTGTAACGGTTCGATTACGCCTCAGTCGGTATGGTCTATACAACTTGAGAAATTCACCTATTATTATTCCCTTCATTTTAGGGGGCAAAATATTCTCCCTCAGTCCAGTGCATTTAAGTAGACCCACCGGTCCCCAAAAGGACCATAAATAGGCTTTCGGACCGTTAATGTCGCAAGCGCGGCATCCGATGGTGCAGAAAAAAAACTCAACAGCAAATGGGGGCATCCTATTCCATGAAAGGGGCTGTTTGGATCAAATGTTTGCCCCTGTCGAACCACGGAATACCGATATTGCCACCAAAAACCTGAAGTTTCACGCTTCCCCGATATTTTGCCGCATTTGACAATGTGGATTTCGAAGCACTGTTATCACTCTTCCTAACCCTTAAGTCTTACAAAACGGATCTACTCACCAGTGGGAGCTATCAGTCGGATAAAAGGCTAGGAGTCCTCTGAGTCCGATATTGTTCCTGATGTATGGCAGAAATATGAAAACCTTCATCGATGCCCTCCGTCTCCTCATCCAACTGCCCACTTGGACAGACAATGAAGAAACGCGCTGGAGTCCATTTAAGCCCAAAGACACTAAGAGCAGATGTAGAGACTGCAACATGCTCCGGGGATTTGTGCTCATTTAAAGATATGGTAGTTTTGGTAATCGACACTACGAAGGCCCATTCCCTCTGACATTATGGGTGTCTGCGCGATCGCTGCAATGCGTGAGATCAACCGCCTCACCACACCACCTAACCGTCGTCTCGCGGACGCAGCGCAAATCATATTTTGGTCCTTGCATTTCTGTTCCCCCAACTACGGTACGTCACTAACACGATTTGACCAGCGAGTCAATGAATCTAGGTCTTGCTTAATCTGGTGAAAGGCAAGGGTTTTGCAGAGGTGGGGAATGTGTACGCGATTTTTATATCGTCCGCGAAGAGGAAGGCCTTACCGTGGGATGTGGCGCCGAAAACGTCACTGATGTATAGTAAGAAAAGGATGGGGCCTAGCAAGCTTCCTTGGATGACTCCGCTAGTGATCGGTAGTGGAGATGATTGTATGTCCCCGATTTGCGTTATTTGCGTCCTGTCTGATAAATAGGAGGCAAACCACTGAAATAAGGTTCCCGTGATGCCAACGGTGCTAAGTTTGTGTAGCAGGGAGGCGTGGGGGACCTGGTCGAAGGCTTTTTGGATGTCTAGATAGACTGTTACTATGGCGTATCCAGCGTCGTAAGCTGCTGTGATGGTCTCAAAAAAGTGAAGCTGGCAGCCGTTTACGGATCTCTGAGATAGGAATCCATACTGTCGATCATCTATGGCGTTTGTAGCTAGGAGAAACCTGATTAAAGGGCCTTTTACCAGACGTTCGAGGGTTCGCATTAAAAGAGGAGTATGGTGGATCCCTCTGTAATTTGAAGCAGTTTGCCTGGATCCGGATTTAAAATGGGGGCGAACGACAGATTGTTTCCATTGAGAGGGGACGATTCCAGAGTTTACTGAGTGAGTAAAAAGATTTAGGACAAGGGTTTTGACATCTTGACCGCCATATCTCAGGACACGCGATGGTATGCCGTCACCTCCCGGCACGGCGGAGTCTCTGAGGGTTTGAAGAAGGGCTGATACATCAGCTAGGGAGATAGTCAAGCTGCTCAGAGTCGGGCGGTTACTCTGTTGTAGACAGGTGGAATATGAGGCGGGGATTGTAGGATTGAACTTAGGAGAAGGAGGCAAGTAGCAGCTGGCAAAGTAAGCATTCAAGTGGTCGGCTATATTGACAGGATGAGTGATGAAGCTACCATTGGTGGAGCTCAGACATGTGACTTGGTGACAGTTTGGGGTACAGCGTCCACGAAATAGGCGGCCGAGTAATTTACAGCTAGAAGGGCCCCTGAGAGCGGTGTTCTCTTCTCGGCATTCGAGGGATACCCGTAAGGATTCTTGGTCAGTTGAAAGCTTGTTGATGAGAAGTATTAATGAGAAATCGCGAGATTTCCGATATTCTCTGCCGGCTCGGCGTATTTTATTTTCCAAGGCTTTCAATAGTTTATCATGTCGAGAGGAACCAGGGTAAAAACTCTTGATGGGAGAGGCAAGGTAGAGAGAGGTCAATAGGTTTTGGTAGAAGATATCACAAATCCGTTGTGTGTCTGACGAGAGAAAGAAGTCGTTCCAGTCCCGGGAGGCCAGCAGGGACGAAAAAGCCAGCAAGATGTCCGGTGTCAGGAGGTGAAAGAAAGATGGTCTCGGGGGAACAGTTTCACTAAACCTGGCTGCGTTACATGAAACAACGCAGTGATCGCTACCTGGAAAGCATGGACCAACTGCAGTCGTAGCCAGATGACCCTCATTTGAAAATATTAGATCTAAGGTGTGTTGGCCACGTGTGGGGCTGCGTACAGTCTGAGACCAACCCTCTACACTAAGTTGGGCAAGCAGTGAGGCGTAACGACTAGGGCCCAGAGTGGGTGACCAGGAAATATCCGGTAGGTTGAAGTCTCCCAGCACGAATTTAGATGAATGAGGAAGGGCGTGAGCAGTGGAGATAATACGGGACAAGTCAGTTATAGAAGCGGGGGTGGGGGGCGGTGGTAGATAGATACAGCCTACTAGTACAGGTCGCTTGGTCTGTTCTATGGAGATCCAGGTAGTTTCAGGAATCCCTTCTAGGCTGGGATCATCAAGGGGGGTTGCACGAAGTTCCGTGTTGGAGTAGATGGCACAGCCTCCACCTCTCGAGTTCCTCCTGTCAGAGCGGTGAAGATTATAACCAGGAATTGAGACCACCGTGTCTGGAGTATCAACCGAGAGCCATGTTTCGGTCACACAAATCAGACTCGGTTGCGCAACAGCAATAATCGCACGTAGAGTATGGATTTTTGGCAACAGTGAGCGGGCGTTAAAGAGCATAATTGATAGGTCCATTTGTGAGCTCACCCTACTAAGTAGGAATTTGGTAACTTCGTTCACGGTGGAGTTCGGTACTAGGAAGAATTCGTTAGGGGAGGTTAGGGTACATGAAGTAGCGTTGACTGGACATGTGTTCGGATTAGGTGGAGATGTATTCACAACTGGGGGTAGAGGGGCGAGTAGTGGTTGAGGCAGGTTTGAATCCACGGCAGAAGGTAGAGCATAAAGTTCATCATGGGGTAGGGTATATGTCTTGAAGGCTGGTATGTAGTCAGAAGCGTTTGGGGGTTGGGAGGGGTTTTGTGAAATGAAGTCATTCTCATCGGCGGGAGGTGTGGAGAATGGCATGGTGCAGGAAGTAACGGTGGTTGTGCAGGGATGGGTCGCGTCCGAAAATGGTCAACAATTGGGACGGAAGTGGGTGTGTAGGATGGTGGAGGCGCATAATGGCCTGAGCTGGCCGCCGGTATATGCGGGTGTGAGGTTTCATCAAACTCGCGGTACGCTTGGTTTGGTGTATTTGTCATGTAGTTATGGGGAGGCCGAAGCAAGGTGCGGTGGTCTTGATAACAACGAGGGATAGATTTTCGAGAGCGCATTTGGGGGTGCTTTACGTTACGCGGCCTTGACAGTCGATAATTGAGTCCGAGGGCGTATTTTGACGGAGGTGTAACGCGAAGAGACAGCAGGTCAGGTGGTCTGTCAACGCCTTCTATAGTCACTGCTCTGGCTGGAGGACGTGCCCCGTCAGTCAATTCAGTGCCAGGAGAGAGTTCTTCTGGGCTGATGGAGGCATTTGTAGTTTTCACAGATGGCGAAGCATAGAGTCCATTTGTAGAAGCGATAAAGGGCTCAGAGTCCTGTAAGGCCATGAAGTGAGAAGCTTCTGAGTAGTCTGGTGTGGGTCCAGTGCTTGGAGCAGTCAATGGGTCTTTAGAGCATATATGTAGCGTAGGAGTGTCGACGTACGTACTGGTAGTTGATGGTGTAACAAGTGTAGGTACAACAGCATGCGGAGGGTCAGGTTTTCGGGGATGCAATTTACGGTGCACTTCGTATCGCGGCCTTGACAATAAGTGCTTGAGCCCGAAGGCGTATTTTGGGGGAGGTGGAGCACGGAGGGACAGCTGGTCAGGGGGACTGTGACGAGAACGAATGCTAACAGCAACTGGTGTGGTCATTGCTCTGGTTGTGAGGCGTTTCGCGTCAGTCATTTCAACACTGGCAGGGAGTCCTACTGGGCTGATCGGGGCGTTTGCAGTTTTTATGGATGGTGAAGCAGAGAGCCCATTTGTAGGGGCGATGGAGGACTCAGGGTTTTGTAAGGCTACGATGTTAGACGCTCCTGGATGGTTGGGTGTAGATTTAGTGCTGAGAGTAATCACGAAGCACTCAGAGCTTAGGGGTACCTTGGGAGCATCCACGCAATTTCTGGCGGTAGATTGGGCAACAGGTTGAGGTAACTTTTCGGTGAGCTGTCCTTGCATTCGACTACGGGCAGCTTTGAGTTTTATGGTGCGGAATTTTTTGGTGGAGGTGAGCAGCGCTACACCCTTTTTCACTTGCACCTTTTAGGTGAACGACAGCCACTGACCAACAAGAATAAAACCGACCCGGGAAACTTGGGCAAAAGCCTCGATCCTGTGTACAAACACGTGAATCCGTGAATCTTGATTGGCTGATATTTTGGTCAATCGCAGGATTCCTCCGTTCACTCCAAAGTCAGCTTGCAGCATCTGCCCTAATTCGCTCACCAGGAAAATCGCGGCCGCATGGCGAGAACTTAAGTATCCGAATAAACGAAATCAAATGCTAAAACTATAGGTTAATTCCCCTCTCCAAGCTATTGCTTGAGGGAAATGTTTCATGTGCGTCTGGTAAGTCTCTTCCCGCCCAATCGGTGTGAAATTCGTTTATTTGAATGCTTTCGTTTTCCGGCACAGAAACGCAACTTTAACAGAATATTCTCAGGCAATAGAGGTCTCCGACGCTTACCAAAATTTCTTTACCTGGAAGTTGTCCAACGATGAGATCTGGAAGCTCTGTCAGGTCCCTACACTTGTCGCAGATCACCAACGACATCTATAATGGTTTGGGTTCTATTACTTGAGAATAATGTTCAAGTGCCTAAACAAACCTCGACCCGAATACCATATTCCAGGTGAAATTGTCGACACCCGGAAACCTGACTTACTACGGTCAACCTGGCATTTGCCAGGTTTACAAATACCATGTTAATTAATACACCAACATGGCTGATGGACTGGGCAAACGGATCCATCACTGATCATGATTCGTGCAGATGAGAAAACCGGTCCCCTCTATGGGCAGCTGCTGTCTGAGACATTTCTGAAGCAGGCGTATCCTAACTTAGTGGCCTTTCGACCAAAAGAAAAAAACCACGTACCGTTGTTCGTCGTCAGTTGAATTACTATATCACAAGGCTGCATTGCCTGCGAAGCCAACATTTCAAGGTCAGGTGGTGTAGATTTTCTATTCCAGCCCATCCATAGGTCTTTAACCAGTTTTTATACTGGACAGCTATTTGCATGCTGCCAAACAGGTTTCCTTTCTCCAGTATGCATAATCGGTGCTATCCCCAGTTTGTAGAGCGCGCTTAATCCTCATCTATATAGTCGTTCCGTCCAACGTTCCGCCACTGTTCCACGCTTCCACAGTCCTATCTGAACTACCACCTCACATAGGTATCTAAGACTGACTGTGATTCCCTTAATACAATCCATAATTCCCCTACTACCCTAGAACTATCAACTGTATTCCACCAAATCAATCATTCCTCAACCTGCTCCGAAGTGTCTCATTATGACACCGCTCCCGCCTTCCTCAAAGCGGTCGCTAAACCCCGAATCCCTATCAGCTACCCTCCCAGTATGTTCAAAAAAGCGGCTTAAATCCAAAATATCCAGCTCCCAAATCCCCACCTCTCGGGTCGGCAAAAACAGTATCCCAAGCAACCACAGATGGTTCAGTTGTTCGAAATGACATATCCTCGCCTCCTTAACCTGGCAATACTCTTTTATCGTTGCCAGTAGGTTCTGAAATCCTGAATGACCTAGAAAATCTCAAAACATGTATGCGCCAGATGGAGAACGTATTGTCTTCCCTCCGAACCATAAAGTCGATTGCATGCTTTCCTAATCCTGACACAACATGCGATCAAACAAACTTAGAAAAAGCGTCACTTCTTATTGACACGATTGCTACTGAGATTTGTCAACGCATCGAATGCAAGCATCAAATCCTGATATTCAATGCATCTGATCGAATCCCACTTGAGCATGCCAAAACTGCCATCGTGAATGCATGTGGCATGCAGGACACCAGATGCACAGCTCACCGGTTCCGGAAGTCGAAACCATCTATGCGCTGCCCGATAACAATGCAATTCTGGGATGAAAAACGTGCCGCGCCTCTGCTGACAGTCCAGACTCTTCTCTCATCCACCAAAAATTCCATGCCTTAAAACTTAAATCTGCTCGTACAAGAATGCAAAGACAACTTACCAAAAAATCACCTGAACCTGTTGCCCCGTCACCCACCAGTACTTGCGCTGACGAGTGCCATAATACCACACAAAGCTGTCTGTTGGACCCAGGTTCTGTACCCCACGCTCATGACCATGAGCCCTCCACTCCTATCTCTGGGCATCCACAAATGTTATCTCTGACCCCCACCACGCCAACCAGATCGACTGCTGATTTAAGAGATAGGGCAACTAATCAACGTGAACATTAGGCCGTAGTGGAGAATGATAGCGCAGCTTCTCAATCTAGACCTCCTGACCTAATGACACTTCGTGTCTCCCCACCAAAGCGCTTCCTTAGACTCAAGCACCAGCTTCTCAAGCCTCGTACCGTAACCCCTTCACCTGTACCTATTCCCCGAGCTCCCTTTTTTACAAACCTGACTAAACCCGTAATTCCTCATAAGCACTTCTGTGGCTCCTCTAGCCGTGCAACCCAGTTCCCTAGCATGATCTTTAAACCACAATTACCGTTACGTACTCCTAGCCCATATTAAGTTTCGCCCCTCTGGAAACCTGTGTACTATATGCCTGGGATCCCTTTTCAGCAACTACCCACTCTACTCTCCGCACCCTCCAAAGCCACATGCAGCCCCATTTCTACGACCTTTAGCTGTATCTTGACTTCCTACTCCAACCCCCCTTCAACCACAGCCAACGCAGAGGATTCCCGGTCGCTCCCAACGGAGCTCACCCCTCCCAGAGAGTTTGACTATACCACTAACTTCCTCACTGCAACCTGTCCCCTCCCCTTACCTTGCACCTCTTACCATAAACCCCTTATTCCATCTCCTCCAATCACCCCAGTCTGGTTAATCGTTACCTCCGCCCCCTACGATTCGATGCTGAAGGCTCTACAAAACATATCCACCCACCCTCTCGGTGCCCCTGCCTTACCCTCTCATTCCCTGTCCCTCAAACACTTCTCCTGCCCTTCCATCCCGCGTGACCTAAATCCCGCTGTTTCTGTTGAGTACCACACACGGCACCACCTCCTGATTATGCTGATCACAATATTACAAACGATTGCCCGACCCAGCTCCTTACTCTTTGTCCATGGAGCTCCGCCATCTGCCCGGCCACCCAAACGCTGCCTCGGTACCCATCGCGGTACGCCCCAGTATCTTATTCTCACGTGTCTTTACCTGGTCCCACTTCGCCTATCAATCCGAGAGGCCTAGGCCTTAGGTATTCTTGTACATTTAGCTTCAACCAACATGTAAGGTACGGAGTGGCTAAAGCTCGCAAGCTCTGCATTTACATTCGCCGATCCTTCCATAATAAATCCTGTTTAATTGCCATTTTTGAACGATTTTGTCAGACCCATTCTTGAATCCAGCCCTGAATTCGCCTCACAGTATTCACAGACATGCCGGACCGCTGCGGAGAATGTGCAGCGCTCGTTTACTGAGTCCCTGTTTCCGGTGTCATCCACACTACCGTATCGTCTTCGCTGCTTGTCACTTGGGTTGGATCCATTATGGCTAAGGCGCATCAGGTTGAATCTGGGCCTTCTGCATCGCTTAATCTACAGGCGGGCTTACATAGATGACCGCTGCCCTGAATTTTCTTCCTGCATTCTTATATTATCCGTAACTCGGGATGTTTACTCTCACTGTCTACATGTCAAACTGTCTTAAGACAAAACATTTGCCTTTGCCTTTGTTCTAAACTATGGAACAAGCTCCCCTCCCATATCCGTACTACCTCATCTCACGTCGGCTTTCGAAAGGCCATCGATTCTTGCCTTTCTATCGAGGGAGCTGAGTGCCTTTTCGCGCCTCATCTAACGCTAGACACTTTT